ATGTAGGGAGATAAGGCTGGAGGGGCAGCCAAGAAAGTGGGAGAAAGGACCAACATGGGATGAGCATCTACCATAAGCCAGGGCTCATGGAGACACCAGACAGGGGAGCTTAAGGTTACTGGCACCTGTCTCTTTGATGTCTTCTGGCTTCAGCATAAGCCCTTAATTGGGGCTGCCTCTTAGGAGACCTGCCTGATCAGCACCCAGCCACATCTTTTCTGAGTGGCACCCAAACTAGTGGCCGCATCTCCCCACATGAGCACCCTTACTGATCCACTTGTTTTTAGCTACTGTGACAAACTCTGGCCTTTGCCTGTTGAGTCCATTTCCAAAGGTGGATGGCAGAACAGATTCAGGTGCCATCAGAATGAAATCCATCCTCACCTGACCTCTCAACGCCTGCTCCATCCACTCCCTGCTCCCACTGTGAAGTACAGACCACCAAGTTCTCAAGACCCCTGGGCCTTTTCAGAGCAGCAAGGAAAGGGGGAGTGGTGCACAGTATGGGACCAAATGGGTGCTTCTGCACCCAAGCCCCAGGAAACTCAATGCTGATGTCCTAGGGCACCCTCATTCTTTGCAGAAAGAGAACTCAGCTGGACAGACAGGAAATATGGGGTGAGAGGCCCAGGCTTCTGAGCAGAGAGGTCTCCCCGAAGGGTTCTCTCTGCCATCCAGCACCTACACCAAAGCCTGGGCCTCTTGGCTCGCAGGGTAACACCCTCTGTTTCCATTTCTGTTTCCTCAGGTTTGTCTCCAAAAAAGTATTTTATCACTTGGCAGTTGACCGGCCTGTGATCTACGATGGAAGTGATTTCCTGTAGCCTCAGCATCTGGATTTTAGTAGCTTTACTTCACCCACGAAAACACTACTTATCTCACCTGTCACATAAAACACTAAAACAAAAACAAACAACAACCCAGCCGCTCCAAGGCTGATCAGCTATGCAACTCCAACGACCCCCTGCTCCTCAAACCTCACTGTTCCAGGCAGTGTGCTCAGCTCAGCACCAGCTCTCAGCCCCCTGGCTTCCAGGGGCTCAAGCAACATTTCCATTGGTAAGGGACCTAACGGTCCCCACACCCGAAGGGATACTCTGCCAAAGGGTTAAATGCCCCTGAGGGCACAGTGGTTCCAAGCCTCCTGTGGAGTTTCACAGGCCAGAGGTGATACTGACTACTGCCCATGGAGAGAGTTGCCCTGCTCTCCCCGGCCTGGCCCAGGCATCCTGAGAGACCATGAGCCGGATGCCCTTGCCAGACCCTGTGAGGCCCTTGGATCCCAGGAAGGAACTTCGCAGGGTCATCATGATAGGGCTCCCAGGGGCCCTCCCAAGATCTCAGCCAGCCTCTTCCCAACATGTTCCTGTCCTTTTCTGCCCCAGTAAGTTTGAGGTTGCCCCAAACACAGCAATTTCAGAGGCACCTCCAACTGCACCTTTGTCCTGGGCAATTCTGTCCACAAGCAGAGCCCTTCCCTCACCCAGGCCTCTCAGCTGCTTGAAATCTCACCCTAAGAATCAGAACTGAAGATAATCCAGGAAACAGAACCCACTACACTCAGGGCCTGTGGTAGCCACCTGCGTACAGATGGCTAAAGCCCAAACAATGGCCAGTGTTCGTCCCACAACCGGAAAGCAGGATTGTGCTTGGCCTTTAGGTCCCACTTCTCAGCTGATGGCCTTTGTTTATATAAACAGGAGCTTCTGCATCACCTGCAGATGCGTTTACTAATGATCATACCCTGGATGAGAACTACTTTCAGAAACGGACCTTTTAGGTCTGTGGTAACTCAGGTGTAAGCAGCATAACTCACGAATCTGCTCTTTGTTCACCTTTTGTTCTCTCCTCCCACCCACCAGCTTCCCCGGTACCCCATGTGCCTGCTTCCTGCTGCTCAGCCTGGACCTGAGGCCCAGGAGCCGCCTCCCCTGGGGGCAGGTGTTTCCTTTTCCTGTTCGCTGGCCCTTCCCTTCTCCCACTTCAGAAAGCTCACCTTCGATGGCCTCCTCGTGCCTGTTCAGAGGCCAGCGCCTGTGGCAGGGCCCTGGTCCTTCCGGGTGAGCAGAGCCTCTGCCAAAGCAGCCCACAGTCACCAGCGATGAGGGAGAGCACTGGCCAGGGTGTAGGAGCTCTGAGTGCTGGCCCGGGCAGCCCTCCCGCTAGCCTTGTGACCAGGTCGTCATAGCGCCTCAAGGCTTCACTTTGTCATCCATAAGCCTGGTCTGACTGGTTTTGAGAGCTTGAGACTGCTTCAGGGCCCCCCGGCTAGATCCAGCACCGACCCCACATGCACTGTGCCCCAGTAGAGCCCTACCCTGGGGACGAGTAGGAGGAAATGGCTTTCGCATGGACTCAGACCCCTCATTCTAATGAGGCTTGGGCACTTCTGATTAGTTTAAGTGGGGCGTGGGGAATGGCGACCGGAACCTTCCAGAGAAAAGCTGGACCTTGTAGCCATCAGAGTCTCTAGCATTTCCTACTGGCCAAGGCCCTGATGGTGGTCAGCACCAAAAAAACACAACCAGGCCCCCAGGGACTTCAGAGCCACATGCTTGTCCTCACAGGCTTGTCTTCAGAGCACAGTATTCTGCCTTCCAATCGCCCCACCCTCTAGGAAATAATAGCAAGTAGCCGGTTCACTACATGGAAGAAACGAACAGAAGAGAACCCCAAGCAGTCTGGGCTCTTGTGAGCTTTCCCAGGATCCCGTGGAGACTGGCCTAGCTGATGGCCGTCCACTAGTGTCACCACCATCTGCAGCTAGAACCAATATCTAGTGAGTAGCTGATGTGTTTCCTGGGAAAGGCCTTGGACTTTCCATCTGACTGGGGTCCTGCAGCTTTAAAAAACCACTTGGCTCTTCAACCCAGACCCACCCCTCCTGGGGAGCCTGGGCCCCTTGTGGTGAGCACCCCTGGAGTGTTGATTGCAGTTGTGCAAAAGGGCCTTTGCTGTGTTTGGAGGACTGCCCAACCCCCGGCTGTCACATCCTGCATCTGTAGCATATTTTTTGTGCCGGATGGACTCCTGTCCGTTGTTACTTTGCTGGGTTTGCTGTGCACTCTGCAGCTGGAAACTATGCTGGCCTATTGAAGTGGAGCTTGTGTAGTCAGCTTTATTATTTTAACTAGTTCCCAACTTTACTGAGGCTTTAGGGTTGGGGTGCTTTTTAAAAATGCAAATGGCAGTGAATACCTATCGAAGGTGATAGCCCAGGCAGTAGATGAAATGACACTAGAAATCCATAAAGAGGAAACATCCTTGGCATCCCAGATCACTAAAGGAAAAAAAAGCCAGCAGCCCTTGATGGCCTAGCTCTCTGAATGGCAGTCACTTGTTTTGTACTGATACTGGCTGTCTTGTCCACCACAGCCTCGGAAGCCACCACTGATCAAGCTCCCTGAGAACATGGCCTGTGTCGGGCACACTCGCCCACAGCAGGGAAACGGTTGTGGGATCAAGCGTGGCCTCTGGAGCCCACTGCACTCCAGGCTGACTGGTCCAAAAGCAGACAAATTCTCAAGCAGGAATATGGGGCAGAAAATCCCCATGGGGCTTGGGAAGTAGAAGGGAAAAGTCACGTGACAATTCAAAAATGAGGGGTAGGATTTTCCAAACTTGTCCATTGTCACCCACCACCTAAGGTGGCGAAACCATTCCAGGCTCACATGAAAGGAAGCCCCCCCAGATGAAACCTTAGCCTGTGACCTAGGGTGCCGGTTAGATGTCCACTGGTGCACTTTCACAGGACTTTGGCTTTTTGAAGTCTGCATTAGTAACCCCATGTGAGAATCCCATCCTCCGCTCAGGGTGTTGAAAATTACAGCAGAGAAGCCGTTTGTGGCGCTCAGAGCCAAGGATCACCCCTCACAGCGACCCCTGAGTCAGCCGTCTACCTGGTGAGTCGCCCAGAGGCACTATAGTGGAACCTTGGGCAAGTTTTTCTCATTTCATTGTGATTCAAGGAAATGGGAAAGACTGAATAAAGCCACTCCCCTGTTAATCACTTTTTAAAATAATGAAGCATATCATTAAATCTGGGGAGGCATTTCTGATCAAAAGGCTTCCGTTGAGCCTGGTGACATTACCCAGAGACACTCCTGCCTTCGGTGGCTGCATAGCAATCCCCGGGCCTCAGCTGCTGGGCCACTGACTGGAATCGCACTTTCATGGACCAGTCCTCAGCCCTCACGCCTTATGGGAGGGATAGTGGGTCTGGGAACCTGGTTCTTTACCTGCCAAAGAATTAGCCAGAAGCACATCAAATGCCAACACCCCACCCCACGGTAGGGGTGAGAAGCTTTTGTATCCCCAAACATTTCTTTATAGCGACTGCTGCACCATTTGGAAATGTATTTTTAACCTCAGGATTTAAATAAATACTGACATTGAGAGTGGAGTCATCTTTCATTCTGTCAGGACATAAGGCACATCGTGAAGCTACCCAGACCAAAGTCAAGTTGAGCCGCCCTATTGGGAGCTACGCTCAGAAGCCGCCGCACGGCCTGACGTCTGGATGCCTCCCGTCTCCTCTGGGCAGGCGTTCAGACCTGCCGAGCCCGCACCCCGTTCCGGCCCAGCACCCCGCACCAGGCGAGCTGCCTCAGCTCAACCCCACGGCCCCTCTGTGGTGCTCGGCACTGAGCAAACCAGACATCTGACCAGAACAGTGGGGCCGGGGGGAAGGTCGTGGATGGCTTGAAACCACGATTAGTCCACGTGTGTATGGCACAAAGCTGGGCAAGACTGCCAGGCTGGGCAGCTGGCAGAGGGAGGAGACCGGGCTCCCCCCGCAGCTTACACGGCCCTGGCTGGGTCAGGCCCGGAGTGGTGTGTCCCAGTCAGCCCTGGACCAGTGAGGCTGAGGTCAGGCTCGGCTGTCCATTCGCACCTCACACTCCCCATCTGGGACGCCAGAGCCCCTGCCCTTGAGCTCCCTGTGCCTCGGAACACCTCGCGGCCCCCCCCCAACCCAGATTCTCACGTGGCCTCTCCTTTAATCGGTTACTCGGGACCAAGCTCCTGCATCTGCGTTCTCCCTGGCTTTGTTCCTCTCCATGCCCCGCCTTCCGCCCACCCTCAGCATCGAGCACTGTACTGGGCGCCAGAGTGAGCCACAGTCACTGAATTCCTAGGGACACTGGTCGGCGCCGAAGCCTTGGTCAGCTCTGGGCCCTCAGCAATCCCATTGGCCAACTTGGCCAGGAACAGAAGCTCCTGGAATCCCCGTGGCAAAGAAGGGCCCAGGGCAAGCCTGCAGGAGGCAGGAGGCAGGTGAGCTGTGCAATCACTGAGGCCTCCGCCTGTGCCCCCTCTTACTAACGATGCCCTCAAACCAAGCCTCACACTGTCCCGCGACCAGTTTGAAGTAATGGAAGCCTGGTTTGTCCAAGCGCCCAAAGCAGCACAGAGAAGGGTTTCTTTGTTAATGGAACAGTCCCTCCAGAGTCTTGGTGGCCTTGCAGGCTGGGGGCTGGAACGAGAACTGAGACAGATGTGCGTGCTGGGGCTGGGATCTGGAGGCCTCTGTGTCAGAATCCCCGTCGCCCCTCCCCACCTGCTAAACCACTGAGCAGCCCACGATGACCTAAGTCTGCTCCAGGTTTCCCAAGCCCCGGGCTTGATCCCAGGCTCCTGGCCCAACCCGTGCCACAGCACTTGCAGGGACCCCGCCTCTTCAGGCCACGTGGGTCCCTTGGTGCTGGAGGATGTGGCGATGCCCCAGGTGACTCAGAAGGACCCTGTCGTCAGGGTCAGCCCTTTCGGTTTGAAGATGCGTGGGAAAAAGTCTGGTGAGAGGCGCTCGCCACCCACACACCTCTGAAAAGCAAACAGGCGGTGAAGCCTGTCCCCCCAGATGAGAAAACGGACTTTTTTTGAGGGAGCAGCTGAAGCCGAAGCTGTGAAGAGCCAGGAGGAGGGCACAGCTGTTACGAAAGCCCTTCTAAGTGGGTTAGGGTTGAAAGAAAGGTCAGCCTTTTTCCCACGCCCACCCGCGGGCTCCTGGAGGGTGGTGCAGCCGAGCAGGAGCCGATGGCCAACCTCGGGCCGTGACGCGTCTCCTCCCGCGCCCGCCGAGTCCGGGGGGGCCGAAACCCATGCGGTTTCCTCCCGCCTCCTGGCCCGTGCGGGTGTCTCAGAGTCGCAGCCCCATTTGGGGCCTGGAATGAATGGTCTTAGCCCAAAGGGAGCCAAGCGGGCCAGGCCTCGCCAGGCCTGAGGTGCGTGAGCCCTTCCCGAAAGGCAGGCTCGCTTCCTGAGCGCGTTTGGCTTGGGGCCTGTGGCTCCACGGAACCCCGAGAAAAGTGGTCTCGGGAGGGCCTCCCAGCTTTCTGCTCCCAAGGAGCCCGACTGAGCCACGGAAGAAGGGAACCACTCCCGGAGCCTAACGCTCCGCCAGGTCAGTGGGGCGGGCGCTGTGCGCTCCCCGGTGGGTGTGGGAGAAGCGGGGGGTGGGGGGGGCATGAGGAGGAGAGAGCAAAGAAGGGGTCAGGAGAGGGGATGAGCAGGGAGGGCTGGGCCACAGGCCAGCTGAGCGGAGGGAAGCAGCCTTTCCCATTGGGAGAAAGGAGCCGAGGGCCAAGGGCGCCGCCGGTGGGCCAGAGCCAGCTACCCCGTCCCGTGGAGGCGGCGTGTTAGTGAAATCGAGACCCGGACCATTTACCAGGCACCAAAGGCCGCGCCTGCACATGTGGGAGAGATAACCCGCTTGTTCCTGGGACCCAAGCTGGCTTCGAGGCCTTGCATGCCTCCGCAGAAAGGCGCTGGGGAGGGACTGCACCATCGCTCCTCCCAAGGGGCCTTGGCACCAGAGACAAGGGCCATGCGTGGAACCAGGAGTCTTTGTAAAGACAGCACTGTCCACCAGCAGGGCCCCCACAGATTGGTTGGGTGTTCCCAGAAAGAGGACCACCGTATGTTGAGACCTTGAGTTGTGGAAGTGGGATGGGGGGACCAGGATCCATCTTGGATCAGGCCCAGAGCCTCCTGGGCTACCAAGATTCAGATGTCAGGCTACCAGGTCAGCCCAAGACTGGCCCAGGGCTGTTTTGCTCCAGAGTCAAGCTGTTCACTTAGTGTCAGTAAATATAAAGCAAGTACCAAAGAGTTTCTTGGAAGGAAGTTCTCTTATTTTGGTTACTTGGTGGCCTATTAAAATGCAGAGTCATGGTCACCACCCATGTCAACCCTGGAACATGAGATCTGGCTCATTCACAAGTCTGCCAGGTGATGCAGGTGGAGGTCACCTGTGGACCACATCGAGAAGGTCCTTGAGGATGGCTGCTGTGCCTTCACTTTGGTTAGAACTTGAGGAAAGGGGGTTAAATGAGCTAATGGGCCTTTTTCCTAATTTAACTCTACCAGCGACCCCTTCAATCTTGGAACCTGGACTTCTGCCTCAATGCATTGGCCTGGCCAGTGGGATGCAGTGATGGAAACTTCATTCTCAGAGAGGAAGACATTTCTAAACAAATCCCCTGGTGCGAAACTCTTCCACAGGTAAAATCTTTTTGCAATCACAGTTTTTTTATGGCTTGTATTTATATTCAAGGGGCATGTTGCTAACTGGCAGATGGCTTGTAAATGGAAAAAATCCCTTCTCCCGAATCCCAAAATAGTTCCATTCACATCCAAAATTTAAGAATCAGAGGAAAAAATATGAGTTTGGTACCAATGGGTATAGGTTGACGATCAGGTTAAACGTGGGTTTCTAAGCTGGTCCATACATAGAACCCAGAAGCTCTGAACTTGGATGAGGGGGAATGGCATCTTTCGCCTGACTTCTAACTGAAACTTAGGTTCCAGTTATGAATGTAGACAACAGGCCACACTAGTATGTATTAGCAAGACCTGTGACTTTGTCACCAGTGGAAATGACAGATATTTCCATGTTATGTGACAACTGTTGCAGGCTCTCAACATATCATTTATGCTCATCTCCACTCAGAAATGAAGGCTGACATTAGACCTGCTGGTAGATTTCATTTAATGCCCCAACAAAGAGGCACACGTATTACTAGTTCATAAATTTGTTTTAATAGTTAGAGGATTATACTTCAATATAATTGTTTCCTTTGCAATCCTTTTTTTCATTTTAAAACACTCTAAGAAGGGGGCTATCAGCTTTGTCAGATTGCCAAAAGGTGCCTGAGACCAAAAAAAAGGCCCATTGGTCTTCGAGGGAAAAAGACAAAAAAGAGGAAGATCAGCCCGTCGTTTAATAGGCTCTTGCCCTAAGTCAGCCAGCTGTGCGCAGGAAACCAGGGCACAGGGAACGGGAAGTCTGAACCATTTAGAGAAGATGCTATTCCTGCTGCTCCTGCCAAGGTGGCTGTGGGCGTGATTTTCTCTAAACCATTCTCATTTCACCGGAACATAGATTATCTGATGATTTTTTATAAGTTTTCCATAAACCAGAAATTGCTATGCCCGGAGTGGGAGGGCAGGCAGAGGGTGATTTTGCCCGGGCCCTGACCTAGACTCTATGTTAAGCTCCAACATATGAGGCCAACTCAGACTTGGAAAACCAAGCACACTTGCTCAAAGATTACAAACACAGAACACGCGTGACGCTTTTCATTGATTATATCAAAGCCACCGGAAGAGTCCAAAAGTCTTACCCTTAATGGCAGCCTTCGCTGTGTACTAAAGCCCATCTTGGAAACGCCCCTTCACTGGGGCTGGTTGCAGGACTATTTGTAACAACCGCTATGGGCCGATGGAAGAGCTTAGAAGCACACGCCTCTCTCAGGAGCTGGCCCGCAGCGGTCTGGGCCACTCACCAGGCCATGGGAGGCACTGTGTCCAGCCCGCTCTAGCCGGCGCTCCCTGGACAGCCCTCTCCTCGCAGGCGGCCTGTAGGCAAGAGGACAGCGTTACTCCCCTAAGGACGTAATGTACCATTGCTCAAGGTTGTCAGTCTTTATATTTTTCAAAGTTTCCTGGCAGCTGATGTCTGATACTGGCATACAGATTTGACAAATGACTAATTTTAAATTTTAACAAATTTATTAGTTTAACATATTGTGTCTATTACATACAAGGCACTGTGTGGGGGGCAAGTGTGTTTGGCTCATATACCAGATCGGGAACACACACCAAGCTGAGTGTCCAAGGGCTCACCCAAGGAGGCTCCCATGTGAGCGGCTTGTCCTGGGAACTCCCTGCAAACCAGTTGACAAGCCACACAAGTTCACCAGCCACGGGGTATCACCTGGCAGAGCCCCTCACACCATTCTCCCATCTCTGAGTCCACGTGGCACGTGGCTTTTCCGCATTGCTAGGATGTAAGGATCCTGAAGGAAAGAGCTGTTGTATTCCCATTATGACCTCAGTGAGTAGAAAGGTTCACGGTGTATATACAAATGTTTGCTGAATGAGTGAATGAGTGTTCTGTAGGCCTGAATGACAATTCTAAAAGACCAGAGGAAAGAAAAACAGCCCATCCAAGACGGTTTCCAGTATTTTGGAGATTTTATTTCCTTTCCCAGTCTCTTCCTCTTCACACTCTTCATATGGCTATTTTCCCTGTAATCGTACATATTTAAAATACAGAGGGTGAAGAAAGTGACCGGTAACAGATTTTTAAATATACATTAAAAATTACTTTTCTAGTATACCTAAAACTAATATAATATTGTATGTCAACTGTAATGGAAAAGTAAATTTAAAAAAATTTTTAAGCACTTTTCTAATATACGAAATGATTGCAAATGTGATAAACTTGCCAAATAGCTAAAAGAAAGACACAAAGCAGAAAAGAAAAATTATATTCAGGCTAATCTCTAAGTTGAAAGCTTTTAAACATGTTAGCACTCACTGTGCAGTAACAAAGTAGAAGCAAGGAGGCAAACGTCCTTCCTGCAGCCTCAGCAACCAGCAGGCCATGGGCCAACCCACTGCAGAGGGAGCCAGTGGATCATCACAAAAGCCACTCGGCAGAGCGAGCCCATAGCCGAGCCAGGGCCGATTCTCCCACCAGGCTGAGAAGACCGCTTCCATGACCCCCGTGGACGAGCCGAATCCTCGCCCGCATCAGCCCGCGGGCAGGTGTGGAATCGCAGAAGCTCCAGCAGGACACAGGGATGGGCTGGGAGCCTACAGAATCCGGGTGGCTTGCTGGGATGGTCGGTTGCCCTGGGGCCCACCGACCAGTCCTGCAGATAGTTTCAAAACAGGCACAAGGACCCTCCCTGGCCCAGAACAGATCGAGGAGACCAGAGGGAAACTAGACCTGAGGTTGGAAAGATTCTAGATTAAGAATCTCTAAGACCTGGCACAGGCATCAGCTTCAAAACCAGGACAGAAACTCCCCAGAGGTGAGAGTTCTCATGAAACCTTGTGCTTCCGTGGACTGTATACAGTGGCCAGTGCTTCTGTTTCCTTCGGAAGGGGTGGCTGCAGAGCTGAGAGCACTGTGAGGCTCTCAGGCGCCTCCTCCAGAGGTCAGAGGGCCATGCTGGGGCCGAGGGCGGCCAGGCTCGTCTGCAGCACTGCCGATCAGTCCTTCGAAAGTCACAGGCATCGCCGCCAGGAGCCAGTCAACATCCTGGGACTGCCAGGGAGTTTCTGGAAACTCTGCCTTGGCGAATTCTGACTCAGGCTAATAATGTTCCAATTCATTCCTTTCTGACTTTCCTCTTTCTCGCTTCCTTTCTCTTCTTTGGTGTCCCTCTGGTCCCGTGGGTGGGGAAGCTGTGTCTGTATTTATTGTCACTTCCACCTCAGCGAGAAAGAAGGTCCCTCAGAAGGAGAGAGCTCCCGAGGTCGTCTCCAGCAACATCGACGACAGCTTCAAGCTGCCCTCTCTCCTTGTAAAGGAGACCCACTGAGCCCGGCTGATGCAGCCCAGGTTCTTCAGGGTTTTCACAAGATCCCGGCGGAACCTCTCGCCCACAAAAACGTAGAGCACGGGGTTCAGGCAACTGTGGAAAAAGGCAATGGTTTGCGTGACCTGGAAGCAGATGTCCAGGTGGCTGGAAACGGCACAGCTCGAGATGAACACGGCATAGGCGTCGATGGTCTGCACCAGCAGGATGCAGTTGTAGGGGAACTGAGAGAGGACGAAGACGGTAAGGACGGTGACGGTCACCTTCAGGGCCCTGTGCTTGGAGGACTTCTTGGCTTGGGTCAGCGTGTGGATGATGATGGTGTAGCAGCAGGCCATGACCACAAAGGGCAGGAAGAAGCCCAGGATCACCTTCAGGGTCAAGACCACCGACTTCAGTCTGGTGCTGTCGTCGCGAGGGTACACCATGGCGCAGATGGTGGCGTTGGCCTCCTCCTTGACTTGGCTGTAGAGGATCTCCGGGACGCAGAGAGCGGCGGCCACCACCCAGACGGCGACGCAAACCATCTTGCTGTACAGCAGCCTCCTCTGCCTCCAGGTCTGCGCGCGCATGGCGCGGGCGATGGCGATGTACCTGTCCACGCTGATGCACATGATCAGCAGCACGCAGCTGTAGAAGTTCATCTTGTACATGCTGTTCACCGCCTTGCACATGAAGGTCTGGAATCGCCACTGGTCGGCGGCGGCGATGGCCCAGAAGGGAAGCGTGGCGAGGAAGAGGAGGTCGGCGATTGCCAGGTTCAGCAGGAACGTGTCGGTCATGGTCTTCACCCGGGTGCAGTACCAGTAGACGAGGATGACCAGGCTGTTGCCCACGGAGCCCACGAGGAACACGAGCCAGTACAAGGGCGGCAGGAAGTGGCTCGCAAACTGCCTGACGTTGCTCTTCTGACAGAAGAGGTCCGTGAAGTTGAAGTTCGCGTAGTCATCCATGGAAGACGTGGAGTCATAGCTGAAGTCATCGGGCAGACCAGGGTCGGGGCTCTGCAAGGAGACGCCGGACGGCATCAGGTCAAGGACAACCTTTTGGAGGTTCATAGGGACTCAGAGCGTCTGCGCGGATCATAGCAGACTTGTTTACTCAACAGTGTTTCCTGAGCGCCTGAGATACGGCAGGTCCTCTGTACGCTCTGAAGCTGCAGCTGCAGAGGCGCGTAAGGCAGACGTGGCTCCTGCTCGCGTGGGAGGGCGCACGCCAGGGAGCAACTGCAGGACACGCGGCAGGCGCTCTGCTGGGGTAGGACCCCTCGGGACCACGATGGGCACTAACTT